CTCCTGAAATAATATTCCAAGAAAATTATTTCTTCTATAATTTCTGTCTGAAAATTGTGCTGCGGCCTATACACGCACGCGGCCTATACATGCGTAAATACGGTATTTACTAAATTTTAAATAAATAACTACAAATTTTGTGAACTGAAGTACTCCTAGTAAATACCAAAACCTGGTCCAAATAAGGATGGGCTAAAGCTTCACATTTTCAGCTACAGTAAAAACTGTTCTGTAAACTCTAACTTTTCATTGCTATGTCGGAGTGAGTCTTAAACTTTTCATCCACAAAACAGAGGTTCAAATTCAATGACTTACTGCCTTCGACACCGTCTTCCTGGTACAAACTTTCAGTTCTTCACAACCACTTCGATAATACAGTGAAAACTAACAAAAGGTAAAGCTATCCCTGTAACAGATCGTGGCGGTTCATAGGCTTGTGAGACGTCGAGGTTCCCACATTTTCTAGACAATCGGCTCACAGATGACGGTAAGGTTTTCAGCCTTACGCGCCGGCCGCCCTTTACTCCTCAGGAAGATTGCTGGTACTCATTTCTGTTAGAGGCTGAGTCGACACCAGGGCCACAATGCGGCTGAAAGGATTATGTCAATTAAAAATCCAATGAGCCCATTGGGAATCCAGCCCGCGTGCCCAAACCAACTACGCTACCGCGTAACAATCCGAAATGCAGCTATAATCGGGTACAGTCTTGTGCTAATCCGTAGGGAGAAGAACCGTAAGACGCTGATAGAATGACTGATCTTCTAACATAATCTGTTCTATTAATGAGCCGATTAATCATCTTAGCGAACTAGTTTTGCACTATTCTCATTCGTAATCCCTCGTTCTCCACTGGCTCTCTTATCACATCAAGCATTTAGTCGTTTTTATATATAAATGGAGCACACAGAGACACTTACTGAAGAACGGGGTCACATTCAGAACATGCAGCATATCGTGGCCTACTTCAAATTATGACCCCTTCATTCGTATAAGAAGCAGGCCTATGATTTTAAAAATCAAATAATAACAATAATATATCAATCACCATTTATCAGAAGCAATAAAAATTAATGAGATGGGTTGTTTATTTGTTACAGATGTCATTTTTAGGCAGCAGTATTATATTCCTAGTCGTCAGAGCTCAAGAATATATTCCATTGAACGACAACATACACTTCTATAGATATATTAATTTACAGCAGGAATAATTCACATGGTCATGCTACATTTATCGTGCAATGCAGGATATCTCTGTATTAGGAGGCGACATATGTTGGCGACCAATGCAGAACAAATCTATGAAACGGTTCTTAAAATGTTAATAATTGTGTGTATGGTCAAAGAAATCCCCTCCTTTTATGGAATTCAACATTTCATTATCACTTTCATACGATTACGCCACTAGACCCTAACCAGATTAATCAGTCAACGTCCTTTCGCCCTCTCTCTTAAAGATCCAAAGCAGTATATTCTTCCATTTACATCTAGGTCTCACAAGTGATCTCTTTCATTCATGTTTTCCAGACAAAAATGTTGTATTCACTCCTCATCTCTCCCATGCTTGATTTAAAAACTAAATCACTGCCATCATATTAATCTACAGACTCTAAAAATCGGGTTCATTTGGTAATACCGAGATATTCCATTCCCACGAAGAACTGAATGACTCGAAGAGCCACATCTGAGTATTAACTCTTTAAAGCCTGAAAATTATCTAAACAGTATTTTTTAAATTTATTTTATACTTTACACACTGCGCGTCCATTACGAAGAACAATCCGTTAATACTGCATAGGAAAATAATACGAAATTTAGAAATACAATCTGCGGAGGAAATCTGGAATTTTTAACGTTAAAACAGATGCTAAATATAGCACGCAGTGGTCTTTAAATGATTAAATGATTCTAAGTTATAATACAATTATAAATAGTTATGTTAAAATCGCTAACACGAGATCTTCACAAGCCGGGATAGTGTAGATGGTATAGCGACTGGCTGCGGGCTGAACGACCGAGGGGTCGGAGTTCGAGTCCCTGTAGAGTCAAGAATTTTCTCTTCTCCACGTCGTCCAGACTGGCTCTGGGGTCCACCCAACCTCCTATTCAATGTGTACCAGGGACTTTCCTCGGGGGTAAAGCGACCAGGCCGTGAAGCTGACCACTCACCTCCAACTAGTGCCGATGTCAAGAAAATGTGGATCTATACATCCACTCCTCCATTCGCCTTCATGTCGTGATGCTTCTTACCGATAGTTACGTGTTATCATATTAGCGATGTTTTTATTTCTCCAAAATATCCGAATTCCTCGTCTAGTGAGGTTAGCAGAATTGCGTACGGCCAAGTACAGGTAATATATTTTTTTCAATAAATAAGCTATAACCTGCGTGTTAGAGGCACCGATCACAGTATCAGAGCTCTAATTCTTATGACTGTTCTGACAAAATATGCAGAACACAATCCACATTTCATTATATACGCTCATATACACTGCACCGGTACATTGAACACACAAGCTGGGCTCGTTATCGCTAAGTCGTTCTTACGAAATTGCATTCTTTTAGAAATTGCATTTTAAAATCGTCGTATATTATTCAGAGTTGTCACTCCCCATCTGCCATTGTCCGTGGAACTACTTTACGTCTTACATCTACCGTGCTGGAAATTCCACTACCGACATTTACATTACGTTGGTTTACGTTCTGTTTCACTCGTACGACTCCAACTGAACCGCATTTGAAGCATCTACCCTGTCCATGATAAGGTAAAGTTTCCTTTTGTTTAATTAATTTAGCATCACGCCATCAAGACGCACTGGGAAGTGGAAGTTTAACTTCACCATTCTTGACCTCGGTACTAGATGGAGGTGAGTGGTCAGCTTCACACTCCGGCCGATTTACCGCCGTGGAAACAGCTTCCGGTACCCACTGGATGGGACCCAGAGCCGGTCTGGACGTTGGGGAGTAGAGAAGTCTCTTATTCCTGCTGGGAATCGAACTCCTGCCGTCCAGCCCGTAGCCCGTCGCTATACAGACCTATTGGAATTGTCAGTTACAGAGCCTGTCCTTTTGGCAGAAATGAATAGCTTGTCTAGTACGTATGTAAACTATATATGACTGGTATGGTGACACTTATGTGTAACAGCACAATAAAAACCGCAAAGAAAATAAACACTCACCGGAGGTGTCGGTGAAGGTCCATCCTTGATGTCCTGGCTGTAACCGCACAGAAGCCTGAGGACGACGCCTGCGCAGACACTGTACAGCTATGAGTGTCTACCGAAGCTCAAGTCCGTCGGCAGTTAATTCGTAATATTCATAAAACCACAACAACAAAAAAACTCTAATACGATATGGTTCAGGAAGATTTAGTTAGTGTTGCATCAAAGCGTTGGCCATGTGTAGTCGCTGCAAACAGTGGACCGCTTGGACTCGCTGCTCACCCTAACAACTTCCATACAACTGAACTGTGCCCACTGAAGACTCGAGAGTTGGTTTGTATATACACCGCCCGCTCTTCCCGCCCGCCTGCAGGCTGTAGTTGATGGGTTTGGATTGGCCCGCTCACACTGCGAGGGGCTCTGGAGCTGGATGCTGAGGGAAGTGAAAACCCTTCTTCCATACACTCCCTTGGGCGTGGAGGCAGACGAAGCGCCCAAAAGGATATTTCTCATATGCCCCTCAGTCGTATTCACTCATGCAAGCAAACGCATCGGTCCCAGTAGTCGTGTATCTTGTCGTCTGGAACAATGGAGACAGTTGATCAAATTCACCTGCCTGGATACCTAGTCGCTCACAACAACAGTATGAACTGAAACGCGTCAAAATTAAATCGAACTAAACTCTTACTGCTAATCAGTTCAGGATCTTATATACGCCCGTATAGTACCTAAAAATTTAAACACATTAAAGTATGAAAGAGGAATGAAAGTGCAACAAATTATGTTTAGTTATTTTTCACAAAATTCTTCATTGGTTTGACCGCCTCTGTGGTCTGACCGTCTAGTGTTCAGAGTTCCTGGATAGAGATCCAGAGGTCTCGGGTTCGATTCCCGGCGCTACCAGATTTTCTGAGAAGTAATGGGTCTGAAACGGGGTCCACATCCTCTTAAAGTTGGCACTAACTTCGCCGACAAGCGGTGGTGGCTCGGTCGGTATAGTTCGCTTGCGGACTCAAGCCACGGAGGTTAGTTTCTATAGCATTCAGGCTGGCTCTGGGTCCCATCCAGCCTCCTGTACAATGGATCCCTGCAGCTGTTTCCCCGGGGGTAAAGCGGCTGGGATATGAATCTGACCACTCACTTCCATTTAGTGCGAAGGTTAAGAATGGTGGAGCTAAATCTCCATTCCTCATGCTTCTTCATGCCGAGATGCTTCATTAAGCACAGGGACATTAATTTTACTTTTTAATCCTTGGCTTATGTTTAAATGGAATTACACAATTCATCATCTCCTGATGTAGCATGTGACACAGAATATAATGACTAATATTTTTCATGGTTTTCTTCAGTTCCTCCACACTAGTGCCAAGATATCACCTCGAAACAGGCTACTGGCGCTTCTCTCTCTGTGCTTTCCGGTTCATCATTGATTAGTCATCGTGCAGTTCACACTATACAGTCGATATAGCGAAGGGTTAGGGGCTGGACGACAGAGGCATGAAGTTCATCTCTATTTCACAGGGTCCACCCAGCCTCCTACCCAGTTGGTACAGAAGGTTCTTTCACGGTTGTGACGCGAGAGGGGCGTGAAGCTGACTACTCGCCTCCAACTAGTGCCGAAGTCAAGAATGGTGAAGCTCTACCTCCACTCCCCATACGTTTTTATTGCATAGTGCTTAATTAATTAAGCACAGGGACAACTTTGCCATTACCTTTACCTTGCCTGCACAAAGTTTGAAAATTGTTTTTAACCAGTCTGTACAGATAAGTTATATATAGATAAAAGGACGTCATATGCTTGTGATATAGACAGCGTCTACTGCAAAACAACACTAGAATGCTGGCGTAAGAATGGAAGTTCTCTAAGGCCACTAAGTAGTTGAGCTTGTTAAGCTCATAGGCTCCAGCAGTGTTTGTGTGGTGTTTACTTCATGTTTCGTTGCCGCCTCTTCTCACCATTCACTTGAAATTCCATCTTTTGCTGCACAGCTCGTAACGACAGCAAGACAAAGTGTTGGCTGCACCATAGCTCAGGCGGTTAGTCGCTGGAGTCCCACCGCGGCGGCCCGGGTTCCAGGCCGGGTCTGGCCATGTGGGTTTTGTGGCGGAAAAATTGACACTGGGGCAGGCTTTCTCCGAGTACTTCGCTTTCCTCTGCCAATCCTATTCCACCGACTGCTCCACAATCACCAACATCTATCATCTGAGGCTGGGGCAATAGGCCAGTAGTGGCTCCAGTACCAAGTGGACTCAGTCTCACTTCAGTAAGAATAATAATAAAAAATATGAAGTGTTACTAAAAAGTATATCTTTCTGACGAATATATATATATATT